GGGCTGCAACTAACCATTATTTTCATTGTCGACTAATCTGTCGATTATTTCTTCGATTAGTCGATCATTTTATTGAAAAATGTGTTAAAATGTGTTAAAATGTCGGCCTGTCTCTCCCAAACCCCAAAATTATGTCATCTAATGTCTTGTTTTGTACGTCAAAGGGTTTTAGTTCACCGTCATGGGAGAGTGTGCAAAGATGCCAATATTTGAGCGTAAGAAGCTGCAATAAGAGTATTTTGGGGTACTTTTATAGTTTTTCTATGAAAAATGACTCAAACTGATTAGTCGACTACTAAAATAGTCACCTATTATTTTAGTAGTCGATTAGTCATCGATTAGTCGACTAATCGTGGCAGCCCTACCTGGCAGCTTAGCTGCCCAGACCCTAATTAGCAGTCAAACTTGCTGATATAGTGTGATACCTAAAGAAGTTTAATCATGCTACAGACAGGCCCATCATGTGTATTTAAAGCTACAGAAACTGGATTCCTCACAACTGAGAAGCTGGAATCATCAAATGTTAAACATTTTTGGTTTCAAAAAGTAACTTATCAAAAGTGTTGCCAATTAATTTTCTATTGCCTAATTTTTTCAGTCCTAAAATAGTGTTTTATGGGGCGTCGGTGGCTTAGTGGTAGAGCAGGCGCCCCATGTACAAGGCTGTTGCCGCAGTGGCCCGGGTTTGAATCCAGCCTGTGGCCCTTTGCTGCATGTCACCCCCCCTTCTCTCTCTCCCCCTTTCACGCTTACCTGTCCTCTCCATTAAAGGCAAAATGCCCAAAAAAATATCTTTAAAAAAAAAATTGTGTTTTATACAACTACAACTAATAATATTTCCAACACAACAGAGATTGTATCTTACCGCAGGTGGCACAGCTGTGTGGTTTTTCCCCAGCATGGCGGGCCTTGTGCTTCACAAGCTTTCTGTGCGTGTTGAAGGATTTTCCACACTGGTCACATGTCAGTGTCTTGTCTGTGGCATGAGCCCTCTTGTGCTCCTTGAGATTACTCAAGTTGTTAAATCCTGAATGACAAGACGAGTACAGTGAATGAAGCACGGGTCTTTTAAACACAAAGTGCATTACAATTTTCCAGCTGGCTCTGTGCACTAAGCAGCTCACAATACTGTCAATTATTTGTAACAGCTTCACTCAAGAATGAGACTATTAGCTAAGAATGAAGGATTAAGTTAGTAATTAAGAGCAGTCATTCACCTCGACCACATATGTCACACAGGTGTGGCTTCTCTCCTGTGTGGACCACTTTGTGACGATGGACATCCCCTGATGCAGTGAAGCTGGAAAACACAGATGAATATTCAATTTATAGACAACTGTAGGGACTGTTAGGGCTGTGTCATATGAGGAAAATATCACAAAGCCTAAACTCAGGTATTATCCATTCTTGAGAATTGGGACAAGTCATATCCTGCCAAAAAATGATAAAATCATAATTTATCAACACACTAATTACATGTCTGGGGTAAAGCATTATTTTTAAAGGATTTGTGTATATGAAATAATATGATTTATGAAGTACTTTGATCTGCTTTCATTTCTTTTAACTTCTAAACTTGCCCTGTGGCAGAAAACAGCCTCGTCCCAGACAAGAATTAACAACTTCAAACGATTACAAAATGTGTTCAAAACCTTCAAAATCTAAAACTAACAGTGTGTAAAATGTAGTTTAAGTATTGCTATATTCATCTTTGTTTGAAAATAGATTTTTTTATGAAAATGTAAGAACAACATTTAATCTGGCGTATAAAGGAGTCAGTTATATCACAACGATTCCTGTCTCACTTCCTGGTTTTCAAAAAATGCAGGAATGCTGCTCAAGTTCCAGTAAGCTCTCTCTTCTATTTATTTATTTTATAAATTCATTAAATAATATTGCTATCAGGTGTGTCTCAATCATAGCATGTCAGCTGTTGCCCTTCTAAATCAAAATAACTGTGCTTTAAAAATTAGTATTTTGATTGGCATTAAGCAAAGTCTTGGCAACTTTGAAAAATAAAATGACTGCTGTGATACAACTTTTTGTCAAATCTGTAAGACATCAACTCCATCAAATCTTACCACCGACATCCATCGCGTATGTTCGTCAAGAAAAAAATAAATCACTGGGAGGTTGGCCCATTACAAGGTTTGTTAGGTAGTTGAGACTTTGATCTTATAGAACATCTTTTCCCAGCCTAACTGAAGAGTAAAAAAAAAAAAAAGTAAGGTTTTGTCCCTATTCTCAAGAATGAGTTATAAACCATCGTTCCAAGTTCTTTTATGTCTAAAGGCAGTATTATATAAAAGAGACATTATATTGGCACATCTAAAATCATGGTATATTACCAAGTTTTTGGTAATTAATTTGTAGTAATTAGTAGTAACTAGGAAAGGCTAGTTAGTAATTAGTAAAGGCAGACCCACTAACTGACAAAATATATCTGTACATGAAATACACATGAAATATAACACATGAAAGGTTCCCTCACCTTTTACCACATAATTCACAGATGTATGGTTTCTCTCCAGAATGTCTCCGCAAATGTGTCTGTAAATTTCCAGCCTGTAAAACATCATCAGTTAGATATCTCAATTTATTTTTTTCATCAGGAGAAACTGTGGCTTGTAATCCGAACAGTACGAGAGACGATACCTGTGAGAAGTTTCTCCCACAAACGTTACACTGAAAGGGCTTCTCACCTGCAACAACAAAAATGTAGGTTTGAGTCTGAAATATTATTACTGTATTACAGGAACATGTTATTGTATATGATGTGTGATTATAAGGAAATAACGAACAGTACCGGTATGTGAGCGTTTGTGCATCTCCAGGTTGCTGGGGTGTTTGAAGACCTTCCCACACACATCACAACAATACTGCTTGCTTCCTGTCTGCTGCTGTGGCTCTGGTGCGGTTTTCAGATTTTGCTCTTCTTGGTTCACAGGTGGAGGACTGGGAAGTTGTGTATCTGTTGCCGTCTCTGTAACCTGCTCCCTGTCTGCGTTAAGGTCCTCAACAGGAGCCTCTGGAGCTTCAGTCTGGACCACAGACTCTTCTCGATGACTCTCTTTGGGACAGCTGAGGACAGGGTCAGTGACTGACTCAGCAAACATCTCCTCCAAAGCCTTCTGAGACCGGAGGTAGTTGTATTTCTTCAAGTACACAGCCTTCTTTGGGCGCACTGGCTTGTTGAGCATGGAGTCTGCTGAGTTGGAGTTGGGGGTGTTTAAATTATCTGAGGGTGTTAAAGAGGAGACAGAGTTCTTTTCAACTGCTACAGACGTACAGGGAGGATTGGGCTGAACTGTGTTTCCCGAGCATACAGGAGTGTGGCTGCCTCCCTGGCTGACCCCAAGCGGACACTGCTGCTCTCCCACCTGAACCAAAGGGCCTGGGCCTTGATTTAAGGCTGCACTATTAGTCTGGAGTGCACTTTGTTTGAAGTACTGCTTACTGTAGAAGTTACGGAGCTTGTAGCCGTGGACAAGCTGTTTTTCTGTCGGCGCCTGAGTGCTGCTAGATGTGTCGCAGTTTGAGCTGCTATTAGGCACCGAAACAGGCATCCTTTTGGTGTGGTCCATGTCGCTGCTGAAGCCAGGCCTCTGGGTCTCAGAGGGACAGTGGAGGTCAACATCATGAGGAAGACTGCTCCCCAAGAGGCAGTCGTGCTCAGAGCTCAGCATGCCCGGAAGAGAAAATGTCGGGATTTCCACTGGGGGAGGACAAGGCTTGAGGAAAGCATTGCACATGCTCTGAACATTTGGAACCTGCAAACACTGAGCAATGTCCAGGAGTGCTTGAACATTATCTTGGTTGATATCAAGATGGGAGGTGTACATGTAGTCCAATATTTGACCGATGCCGCCGACATCCTGGATGACCAAGTTGAACACCTCGTTCTTCTGACTGGGGGAGTTTTGGAATAAAGACCTGAAACAGCAGCGTATGATTATTTAGCTAAGTGATAAGGATAGAAATATGCCACTAACTTACTGAGTGTGTTTACATGGACATGAATAACCCATTTATGATTATGTTTTTAGAGCATGTAAACAACATATTCTGTTGAGAGAAACTCTGGGAATATAAATAACCAATTTTCTCTGTGCTCATGTAAAAACCATATCCTGAATATGATCACAACCAGGATAAGCCTCATAAATGGGTTCCTCATGTCCATTTAATAGTGATGTCACATATATAAAGACACAAAGGCACCTGAAATAGGAGCTGAAAGCTGCCAGGACATTTTTGTGGGCTTTGAAGCAGACACCTTTGACCACCAGCATGCAGTCACAGAGCAGACCCTGAATCCTCTGCTCCTGCAGCTGCTGCAGGAGGTAGGAGCTGTGGCTGGACAGGGTGTCCATGTTCACTCAGCTGATGGACCAGTCTGCTCCAACTACTCCATCTAAAAGCTGGCCAAGGGGACACATGTCAAAAACAACAAATCTCTCAGTAAGGAGATATTAATTATTCCTATGGTTAGCTAGTCGTTGAAATGCAAACAGCTTAAAAGCGGTGTAAGCCAGTGCTGGTAACAAATGGTATATTCACACAGACAATTCAACAACCGCGCAGAATCCGGTGTGTCTGTGCAACGAGACCACCCAAGCAAAAATTGGGACGAAACCCGCTAACATGCTAACTCCTAAGCTATGCTAACCGACCACAGCGGTGAGTGGTGTGAATCGATGTTTCACCAAATCACTCAATTATTCAATTTACAACCAGGAAAAGTGCCAAATATTGTTAGTTCAGTAAAGATAAGTCCAAACCTACATCTGAGGAGTCCACCTTTTATTTGGATGATGGGTCACTTTCCGAATGTAACAACGTGACGTCACTTCCTGGTACGACCGGTATTTCGCGCTGCTTTAAACATGAAACAAATAACGTGACTATTTCGACACTTCAAAAACGGTGACAGTGTAATATATTTCGACGTGTCACAGTGGTTTTTTTAGTTGCCATTTAGGTTGTGAATAGCACTAAAAACTTTGTTCAACACCCGTTTCCACCCTGACCGGAACTTCTTTCTGAGTGCGTTTTTACTCGGAGGACTTTCAATGTAGCAACCGTGTGTTAGTGTGGTCACGTGTGTTTTGAAAAGTTTAAGCGACTGGAACCGAGCAGGGGGCACGTTGCGTGTAAATTGCAGCGTACGACATTTATATGCTTTAATAAACCCTCTGTTACTTAAGTCATTGTTTTATTTAAACACTTGCTAGCTTTGGGTGGCATTAGCTAACGTTAGCTTATTTTAGCTAGCATTTGCTCCCGCTTCATTTCGTTCTAACGTATAACTGTTACGTTGGTATCAGTGGTGGTAGTAACGGTATCTCTATTAGTAGATCCGGTTGAATCAAAGTTATCATTACGGCTTAGTGAAAGCAAAATGGTGTTTTTCACCTGCAACGGCTGTGGTGAATCCCTGAAGAAAGCTCAGGTTGATAAACACGTGAACATATGCCGGGGCTGCCAGGTCCTGTCCTGCATCGACTGTGGAAAAGACTTCTGGTAATTACCGAGTGTCTCAGTGTTGTCTCAACATCTGTTTACTCTAGTTAATGTTTGCTTGATATTTAACCACTCTGTGTGTGTGCAATTGTGCCTCTCTGTGCATGTTGAACAGGGGCGATGACTACAAGGACCACATCAAATGCATCAGTGAAGATCAGAAGTATGGAGGCAAAGGTTACGAGGCCAAGGCAAACAAAGGAGATGTGAAACAGCAGCAGTGGATCCAGGTAAAACCCAGAGAATGATGCCCATTACTGTCAATGTTCTGTGTGTGTTTAAAGAAATAGTTTTTGGTTTTCAACTTATTGATTCCTTTCCTGAAGAGAGTCCACGACGCCATGAACAAACCTGGAGTCAGTGCAAAACTAAAAGATGTGCTCCAACAAGTCAGCTCCTATGACAATGTACCGAGAAAGAAGGCCAAGTTTCAGGTCGGTGTTACTTCAGTCTTTACCAACCATTTAATGTATGTGATGAACAGTGTGTGTGTGTGTGCATGAGGTAATCAATATCAATTTTTGGTATTTTCCTCAGAATTGGATGAGAAACAGTCTTAAAATAGCCAACACGAGTCTTCATGATGAAGTGTGGGAGGTCCTGTCTGCAGCTGACAAAGTAAGTCACTTAGCCTAATAGTTACTGTTATTGTTTGACTGTTTTCCTGTGCATCTAAGTCATTGTCAGCATAGATTAAGGTGGAAAATGAGATTTAGTTTGTACAGTTTAAATCCAAAGTAATGAAATTCAACAGTTAGCAGCTTCCAGTGATACTGAAGTACACTTGAAACACATTACAGAGGTTTATTTTACCCAGTTAATATTATATCTAGGTTATCCTTTATGTGGTTTTCCTTTTGCTGTCTGGTTTTAATAAATTCTGTCATCTTAAGGAAAGACAAAAATATGTTTCCCACGTCTTTCATATCCCAACTGACTCTCATTACCCACCCACAATCTGACAGGTTCCTGAGGCCCCCCAGCAGACCAGTGAACCTAAACAGGCTGTGGCTGAAGCGGATGCTACTGAAAATGAAAAGCAGAACGGCCATCCAGATGTTGAGAAAAAGAAACTGAACAAACGGGAGCGCAAAGAGGCCCGTCAACAGAAGAATGGGAAGGCTCTGAAAGGCACTGAAAAGACAGCTGCTCAGGAGCCAGAAGAGGGCAAAAAGAAAAAGAAGGACAGGAAGAGAAAACGCGCCTCTGAGGAGGACGAAGATGAAGAGCAGGACGGTGCTGAAAAAAAGACATCCAGCAAGAAAACAAAGACAGGTAAGGCATTTTCTAAAGAGATGCTGTTTTATTTCCATGTATTGCTCTTAGTAGTGCTGCAACTTTGTGTCTTTTAATGAACACTGATATGACAATGTGGAATGGCTAAATGTTTGACTCAGCAGCTTGCACATTTTGTTTGGCCACCGAATCTTGAAAGAAATGTAAATTATTGATATTAGAAAGATTAGTGCAAGTGCTCAAATACACTGAGAACATCTGTTTTTTTGCAGTGTTCTATTATGTCCTTGTGTTTGAAAGTATACTCTTTATAATTGACAATCTTTTTATTGTATTATATAATTTTGTTAATTATGTTAGTATTAAGTTAACTATATAACTGTTATATCTTCTTTCTTTTAGCTGAACAAGAAGCAGAGGCTGCTGACACATCAGAGGAGACTCAGGATCAAGAAGTTCCCAAAGGTATTATGTGGTTCCAGGCATGACTTTGCTCATCTTTTAGAAAATAAATGGTGGTGTAAAAGAATAAAGCCACCAGGGGTCAGTGTTGCTTGTTTTGTTGACAGTGAGGAACTGAACCTCAGTGAATATTCACCCTGTACTGAGAGCTAATTTATGTTTCTGATTAACTTGCAGGCAAATTCAACTGGAAGGGAAACATCAAGGCGGTACTGAGAGAAGCAGATGACCAGGAACTGTCAGTAAAGAAACTCAGGAAGAAGGTGAGGCATGGACTGTGTTTATTACTCTGTGGACATGAGTCTGTAGTTCTTTGTTTGTACAACATGTGACTTCACCCAGCAAGTTGTTCTTGTAAATATTATGTGATAATTAGAGTTGTCTTTTGCTTAAAGGTAACCTCAGTATTTTTCAACCTGGAAATTATTTTCCTGTGTTTTTGTGTCTAAGTGACATGTAGCGACTGAGAGTTGAGAGGCTGAGGCTGGGCGTGGTTAACTTGTCTGACAGGCCAACAAAAGATTTGCTGAGATCCAAAAATGTGTTAAATAAACTTATCAGTGAAAGGGAATCAACTTATGATAACGTGCACAAACTTATAACTAAGATGATCACAGCGAACAAAGAAAAGTGCGGTTCAACAAAAAAATACAACGACCCACTCACCCTTTGTCTCCAACAAAAAAAAACACACGTGAACATGAGATGTTCATGAAGATTATGAGTGTCACTGACCATATCCATGTGACCTGACTCTCCCAATAACCACAATTACAAAAAATAACAAATAAGAAAATCCCAAAACACCCACAAAAAACTTTGAACAATACAAAAATATAAAGCATACCAAAACTAGTTCATCCCACTAATCTTACAAAACCCATTCCTTTCTAAATTAAATATAGCTCCTACATGACCAATAGGAACAACGATTTTTGTAACTGGTTGAGAAATAAATGAGAGGGCTGCAGCTAGCAGAGGTGAAACAAGCTCCAAGGTAAACACTCAGGACATTTGTGCCTCGTCAATTTACACCCACTGAAAGTGACTGTTTTTCCTCTGACGGGCTCAGATTGTTATAAGTGTCTGACAGTGTTAGAGAGAGGACCCTACACACTCACTCTTTTACAAAAGGTCTGTCTCTGTAGGGATCCTTTCCATGATTCTGTCAAACACTTCAAATAAAAGTCTGAGCCTATCAGTGGCAAAAACAAGAATTTGACAGTGCACAAATGCCCCAGAATGGTCACATTGCAGCCTGTATGACAGCTGCTAGCTGCAGAAAATTCAGAATTTGTTGTTTCCATCAGTCACTCAGACATTAAAAACTTGGGAAAACAGGGTCCAGATTGAAAAATACTGAAGTTACCTTTGAATATGCTGTTAAGAGCTTGTTCCTCTTTACAGGTTTTGGCGGCGTACTACTCTTTCTATGGTGATGGAAATTTTAGAAAGGAGGAGGAGGTGCTTGCACTTTTCAACAAGAAGATCAACAACAATCCCAAATTTAGAGTCTTGAAAGACAGAGTTAGACTTGTAAAGTAGACCTGTTTATCTCCCCTGTCTGGCATGAAATGTATGTTGCTCATAGACTTTTAAAATTTACGTTTGTCTGCCGTCCTCACTTGGATGTTTTTGTACAGCTGACCTAATCTCAAAGATTAAATAATTTTATAACTGAGTTATGTGTCCTGTTTCCAGTCTGTAGTTTCACTGATTGCAGTGACCTAGTCGGCAGCACGAGGAAGACTTTGTACAAATTGCCTTAGAACGTGTCAGCGTTGTTTAATGTATGAAATGACAATTGTGACGGACGGCTGCTCTGTTCCACATTCCAAGCCCACGGTAAGGCTGGGAAATGGCACCTTATCTGTGGGATTGGATGTTGGAGTGGGGGAAGGGAAACGGGAGAGGTGCACCTGAGGTGAATTTGACTCTCACACGGGACGACGCTAATGCACATTCCTCGGCACCCCGAACGGGGTTCACTTGGCCAGGGACACAGAAGCTCCATAGAAGCAAGACGCTTGGTGTCAGCCTCAGGTGAAGTTTTAATGCTGTCTGATTTTTCCACCGCTAGAATGAGCAGCCCCTTTACCCTGTACACACACACTCACACACTCACAGGAGGAGCTACAGGAGGAAATCTGCCCAGCTTTATGAAGCTCTGCTAATCCCAGCAGGTTTAACACTGATGCTCATTCATCACACTGCTTACCTGTAATTGTATATTGCATACTTTGGGTTAGTCAAGCTGTTACTCAAGTTTGCTAGTATTAAAATAGTGTTTTCTTGTTCGCAGTGGGACTTGATATTGCTTAATGCTTGTGTTTTAATCCAGACCCCACAGGATACTCCAGGAGAACTGAAACTAAACCTGTTTTTACTGTTGCAAAACAAATCTGAGGACAAAACTTTGTTACTGCTATTTGATATGGCAGGATTAAGTGTGTGGCCATATGGTTTTATATGGGGCAGTTTCATCCCTGAACTGTGGTCTTAATGGCAGAAGAATTTGCCATTTCTAAAAGGACGAAAAACCTCTGTTCTCTTACACATGAAAACTTGCACTCCTAAGTGATAAAAAACATTTTTGCTTATTTCAGTAGACTCAGGGGTTTTGCCAAAAGTGTGGGCTTGAGTCACATGACTTGGACTCAAGTCAGACTTGAGTCACAATTTTTATTTTTATTTTTATTTTTATTTTTTAGACTCAGAGAAGACAAAGAAGATGACGTGTGACTTTTCCTTTACTTGAGTCTTGTGACTTGAAAGTACTTGATATTTTCCCCCAAACCCAAAGATAAAAAAAATGTTATTTAAAAAAAAGTGCCACTAATCATTTTATTTCCCTTCATTTCCTGAACAAACTAATATTTATCTTTTTATTTCATGTAGACATAAAACATGCAACAACATGAAATATCACTTTAAAGGAAGAACAGCCTCACAGAAAATATCTTAGAAATTTAGGAAGAGAAAGTTTCTAAATATGAGATAAGATAAATTTAACAAGACAGGACAGAAACACAAAATTTATTCTGTTGTGGTACCGGTTAATAGTGCTATATGCTTTGAAAGTGCAATGTAAGTACTATTTTTATGATTAAGTTCAGTCGCACTTGTAACAAACTTGTTTTAACACATTTTAAAAAGCATTCATGATTTTTGTAAATGTAATATATTTTTACTCTGTTGTTTAAATGGCTTTGCATTTGGTGAAGAACACATTATGACTCCTTTAGGACTCGAAACACAAAGCTTAGGACTTGATTTGGAACTTGTCAGTCTTGACTTGGGTACAAAATACTTTTTAGATGTACTTGTGACTTGCAAAACAATGACTTGGTCCCACCTCTGAGCTTTACTGCCCAGGGTAAGAACCAGACTTCTAAGGGTGACATCTCAGAGTATGAGGTAACACTCTTATCTGGTGCAACTACACAGAACAACAAATGCTCATGGATGCAAAGTGGCTGATGACCCTGTTGCCTTTACCTGTTAATGAGCAAAAGTCAAATGTCTTTCCTAAAAGTCACTACATGCTGAACAGGACCTACTCTATTAAAATTAACAAGGTCAGTTAAAAATGAGAATAACAATGCTGTCCAACAGTATTACCCATTACAGGCTCCAAACACAGTTTTAACTTTATATCTTCATGATTCCAGTTTTATTGCAGGGCTGTGGTATTTAACTTCATTAGTGTTGGATGCACCTAATGTCAGAATGTGGATTGAGACTGTCTGCCACAGAATAAGTAGTAGCAGCCAACATTGGAGTATTATTCACTTGTCTTCACTACACGTGCCCCGTCTGTGCCAGATGGAAAGTGAGAGCGAAATGGGACAAAGGTATCAGCAGTGTCAGACTCCTGCCCGCGCCATGTAAAAGTATACATTCAAGATAAACGCTGGAGTACAGCCAGCTACTATGCATTCTGCAGAGTTTATGAGGGACAGAAAGGATGTTCCCTGTCAGACTGTTCTGTTCACATATCCTCAGTTACCCTTGTGGTGGTATATTTTTCAGTGTGGTGGGCCAGTTAGTTTGATGCTGATTGTGTCAAGATGGTGCATAGTGTACAAAAAACACAATGTAATTGATCTCAAGTGAATGCATTGGACATGGTGTTCTGTAGGAGGGTGCAGATAAACCAAATCAAATGAACAACAGCATTTCCCTTTTGGCAAAAGTTTGATGTAGCAGCATTCACTGTGCATATACTGTAAATGTTATGATTACATGTATGCTTTACAGGTTATCTATTGTTGGTCACATTAAGTTTTACTATTGAATAATGTGCCTCTCAAACATGTTTTCTATACTTGGAAAGCACCTTGTGGACTATGACAGTTTAGGTGAGTATTTATTTGCACAGGTAAAAAAATAACAAAGGATTAAAAATAATTGCAGTGTCTTTAAATGCACACTGCCACGACTATACGTTTTATGAAGTACTCAGGTTATTGAATTTTTTTTACTTCTTTTTATTTGCTAATAATTCTAAGTAATTGTTCGTTTATTATTTAGTGATTTTCTGTGGCATTGCATTGACATTTGTGAAACTTGGCTGTTACTAATACAAAAAACTACAGCTGTCGCTTTAAGTGCGTCATAAAGAGGCGACTCTGCCAAACAGGAAGTGGCCTCTCATCTAATCACTAGTTAGCGTCTAGAGCTAGTGTAAGTTAAAGATAGCGTCAACACGATGCTTAACGACAATGAACTTGTTACGTTGCGGAACAGATTTAAGAGAGATGCGGAGTTTCTTATGCAAACAACAACAAATGGCGACGAAGACGAAAAGAGTAAGAGTCAGACACCTTGTGTTGGCTAACGTTGTTAGCTAACTTTAACCAGTTTTCTGTGAGAGCTAACTGTTAACACCCGGAGGAAACGTTAACGTTATGAACTCAGTGGTACATTGTGACGTTATAGCTCTGTTTTTTGGGTGCTGACATCCTCTCTGTACGTGCTACTGGCATATTGTCAATATGGTTAATATATGGTTAATATACTTAGAAAAGTAGCTACCTGTATGATTAAATCTGTTGAATGGCCAGTTTGTAGTCCACTTGACAGCTAGTCTTTAAACAACTTTAAAGCATTTTATTTCACAAACTAAAGCAGGTATGTAGCAGAAAGCTATGTGCTTTTTCTGACTGCGACATATTTAGTCAAAGGGGATGTTGTATGGTGGACAGTTGTCCAGCTTCGAGGCCCAGACTGGCAGACATCCAGCAATTCTTGATTGTTTTGACTGAGCAAGTGTCAGCTCAGTAACTTAATACAGAGAAACCCTACTCGTACACCGTCTTCAATGTAAGGGTCAGCTCACTGCCACTATAAGAAATGACTGTGGTCTATGGTGTAAACTAATAACTGTAATATAAGTAACAGACAAAACATTTGTCAAGTGGGTATCCCTTTTTACTCATGGCTGCTTTTATTCCAGTTTACATACTGTCCGTGGTCCCTCTGGCAAGCTGACTTGGTATTGTATTATGTTGTATCTGAAGCGGACCACCAGGCATAACTTTGATTAAAGATGTAGGCCAACTTGTCTAGGGCATTGAGTTCATTGTGAACTCTGCACCAACATGCTGAAGCACTTCAGCAGCCAACTACAGGCTCTGATACGTTTAATCAACCAGTAAATTATAGAGATTAATACCTCTCGGAGAAGTAAGATTATCTCAAAGAAAGCTATTGGTTTCACCTCAAAAGCTCCTTAACCCTGGGAGGTGGGGATTTAGCACATTTTCTGTTGAGGCAAGACAAATCTCATATTTGGTAGTGAATTCTATACCATACTGTAACTCTTTCAGTGTATCTTAGTATTTAGTTTTTCTTTAAATCATGCAGTGTTAGTGTTGAATGTTACCACATCTAACTGATGGTTTTGACTGTAGCCAAACTTTTGTGAGTAATTATCAAGTTTAATGTACTATACATTTGTGATATAATCTGCACTTAGATTTCTAGGTTTTTTGTTTTTTTTTAATATCTGGAATGAAGCAAGTTCTTAAAGTAGACCATGAATCAAAACTCTTTTTTTTGTTTATTACCTTTCAGGTCAGGAGGAAAAAGATGCTAAACCTCTTCCTCGCATTAACAGACACTCCGTTTTCTGGATCATGGCATCTATAGGTGTGACCTACTACGTTGATTTCCTCCGTAACATCATGGAGAACGACGATATCAAAAGGTGACTGAGTTATGACAAAGACCCCAAAACTCATGTGCAGATCTCGTTCACTTATCTCTATTCCCTATATTATACGGCAGGTTGTGTTGTGTGTGGTAAAGCAGGTAGAATGTTACAAAAGTATGAGATCATTATTCCACTGTGATGTTTTTTTAGTATCCAGTAATGAGAGACCAGTATTAGATAGATAGATGGATAGATAGATAAACTTTATTGTCTGTCCCAATAGTGACAGAAATTTTCCTTTGACAAGGCTCAACAATACACATGATTCACATTTAAGACACATTTAAAACAAATAACTGAAATGCATACACTGCGCCGTGTCAGGAGAATAGCGGCGCCATATTTTTTTTTTTTGTATATTTTCTTTAAGTTATCTATACACACAGTAAGCCTTGATTAATTTTTGTCTTTTCAACCCGTGTTTTTCCAGTTGGTGGTTCAATGTGGGTCTGATACTCCTTGGGATCTGCCTGTCTCTGGCCATGTTTTGCATTGTGTACCTGGAGTGGTTCAAAGGCATCCGGCACTACGACCAAGAATATCCTGCCATTCCTCCCATCACCACTGCAGCATTTATTGCAGCATCTTGCAGGTAAAACAGCAAAACAAATTAATTAATTAAATATTAATAGACTTCAAACTGCCTAAATGTGCTGTAATCCTCCAATTACACAAGAACAGATAAACTACAGGGCATTCATTTAGAACAGCATTGGATTAAATATGTAAAAACTTTAGAAGTTTATAAGAACACCCGACACACTGTACCTCTCCTATTTAAATGTGCTCAAATGAACAATTTCAAGTTCTTTGGGCACAGGATGAGAGGTGAAACGATATAAGCTCATTGAACATATATGTGATTTGTCCAAATTTGGACAAAAAATTTAAGCACATAAATTACAATCAAGGTATGATCAAGGAAGTTTATAAACAGTGACGCCAATTCATGGTTTTTTCCACTGTCCCTCTCAGAACATATCTTGGTCACAATTATTTTAAAAACGAATATAAGGAATTTTCACATTTTCAAAAATTGTTTAGGTATTTAAATGTGTATGTGTGT